CTGTGTTTTACGTTGTGAAAGTGAAACTACTTTGTTTGGTCTTCCAAAAGAGGACACAACTACAAATCAGTGGTTAAGTTGTATTTACAACACTGTTCCAGAACAGTTTAACCCAAATATTCAGATGTGTGCAGCACATTTTATGGAGGACTGTTTACTGATCCTGGGAAATATTCAGATGTGTCCAGCGCATTTTATGGAGGACTGTTTCCTGATCCTGGTAAAATAGACTACAATGCCGACTGTTCTGACTCACATCACGTAAGTATGTTTTCATTTAAAGGATTTGCCACTGATGATTCAAACGCGAGTTTTGAGCAGTGTAGAGTAGCGCTTGTTGTTTGTCATTTCTCCAATCACAAATGCAGACAGGGATTTATGTTTACGTGGCGCGATGCAATGCAACGAATGCCTCGTTTGTAATAGGTTTTAATGTTTTTGTCTCGTCGCTCCGGCCGGACAGGGCATCATCACAGTATGGTGAGGGGCGTAACATTTCCGTCACACGCTTGAGGTATTCGGCCAATCACAACACACTGGATAGCTGGACAATCACAGCACACCTCACTTTTCAGAACGATGAGCTTTGTAAATATCGACGCGTTTCAGAAAGGCGGGGCATAGAGGAGAAACAATAATGTACAGTATGTGGAAAATAATGTGTTTTTTTAACCTTAAACCGCATAAACACATTTCATTACACCAAATACACAAAATAATGTTCTTTTTAGCAACATCATATGACCCCTTTAACATTGAAATACATCAAACTAAATTATCGCAAAACAAACATAATTTCAGTACTTTAACTATTATCAGACTTTTCCCTTATATTATAAATGTAATGTATAGCCAAATTACACTGACAAAATACACTGTAGAATGCAAGACCTTGGAAACATTTATTGGTGTTACATGGTGATCATTCATCCGCGTGCTTCCGAGTTCATGCTTTTCCTTGACTGGCTTAGGAGCTCAGTTATGAGCGGGACAGAGCGGAAAATGAAATAGCCTACTGTACCTCGTCTGAGGAGCTCACCTGAGTTAGCTAGACTTATGGGGGGGGGTGCATTGTTTGCATTTAAATGTTGTGGGACATTCTGACACACTTAACGTGTGACGCACAGTAACAACAACAACAACTGAGAAACAGTTTTTCCTCACGCTTCTTAGGATAAACACTAACCAGTTCAAAAACTATACCATAATATAAGGTAAAGACAACATTTGAAGAGTTCATTTGCCAAAACAGATAACTCCGTTTTTATACATTTTCAGAAATCGTATTTTTTTATTTTATTTTATTTTTTTATTGTGCATTCCAAGTAATATCAATCAAACTGCAGTTGGGTTGTTCTGATTAAGTAATAATAACAAAAAAAATAAAATAAAATAAAATAAAAAATATAGGTAACTTACAAAATTAAAATGATTGAAAGTATGTTTTTTAATACATTAAAGGTTAGTTTTTTGGCAAAAGCAGATAACTCCACATTTCATGTTTCAGAGTTAAACAGAAACACTCGTTTAATCTGTGTAATCTCAGCTGACAATGTAGACGCCTGGACTTGTTGTTGTTGTTGTGATTACACGCGATACAGGGAACTTTTCCCTCACCACTGTAATGTGCTGCTTTAGCAAAGTTCCGTGGAAAAGCTTCACTTTTATTTTCCTTTGACGCCCCGAAGAAGAAGATATCACGGGTTCATCATGTGCGTCGAAATTATCCATCCTTGATCACTTCTAGTCAGCTTTGACGAAACTCCTCTCAGCTAGCACGTCTTTTCAAAGTGACTATAGTATTAGCCTTGTCACCTGACCTGAATACTGCGTGCTGATTCGCTAAAAATGACTTATCAGGTTTTGTTTACAAACAAGGGCGCTTGCCGGTTTCTGCTGTAAAACTTGAACTTAATGCCTTAAAGTGGACATTACCAGCTTTTGTGACAAAACGTGTTTAGGGTTTACTGCTATATGTGGAGAATAATGCACAGCAGTCCGTTCATTTTATATAAACATGGTGTTTATCGGATTTTGCAAATGAACTCTTCATTTGTACTTCAAGCGATTGGATAATTGTTTGCCCTCCGACTCAAAGTCCCTTTCAAGGAAAGTCTGTTCACTCGGCGGCCATATTTGCAACGCCTCCGAGTAGTTCATCCAAGACCAAGTCCTGTCTAAATGAATGGGGAATCCTGAAATCTCAAAAACTGCCCTATGAACTCACAAATAAATTACATATTTCAAATCAGCAACAAAATCTGAAATGAACTGCCCCATGAATGTTGTTTGTTATGCTCAAATAGCGTTAAAAAAGCTTATTTCTCAGGCCAGACCAGCCAATGCACATGTGCAGTCAAAACACGCTCATGCCTATTTCTATGGGAACCGGAGCTTCTACCGGCCACTGCAGTGACGCAATGACTTTACCACTCAGCGATTGGCTCTTTCATTTAGAAGGCGTTGCAGTTTCTCCCATTCATAAGTATAGGAGTGAACTGTGTTTGTATTTCTAGTCTTTGCTCCGACTGTAACCCAATAGCTGGGTTGGAGGGGGGAGGGGTGTATTGTTTCAGCGGTCAGTGAGACTGACCCAGCCACTAACCCCTACCCAACACTGGAAAAAATAACCCAACATATTGACCCAAGAGGCTCAACCCAGCGTATTTTAGAGTGTATACAACTCCACCTGAATACAGTACAGTGTGTAAAGAGAGAGAAAAAACATGAAAATTTTCCTAAAAATATTCTATATATTTAATTTATAATATATTTTCGTTTCAAAGGATGAGGAAAATACAGTGACTTGAATATCTTTGCAGCTCTGGAAATAGCAAAGCGCTGTGCTTGCGCTGTAGACTGATAAAATAAAAAGTGAAATAGGCCTACACTCACACACACACACAGATACACACACACTCTCTCTCTCTCTCTCACACACATGCATGGATAAAAAATATAAATAATTAACATATCATACAAAATTGCGTTGCAGCAAATCCTTTAAATGTTAAGGTATTCAGAACAGAGCAACATAAAAATCAGAAAAAGCAGCACACACACACACACACACACTCTTTCTCTCTCACACACACACACACACACACAGTGTATTTTTATTTTTTTATTTTTTTACTTTATTTAGTTGACAGGGACATTGTTCATTAATAAAACATTCCTGTAAATGTACCAGAATTAGCCAAAGGCTATTTTACATCCGTAGTCCCTGGACAAGATGTTACAAGTCACCCTAAAATAAAATTTAATTAAATACATACTAGAAAATGTAATAATTACAGTTCAGTGTGTTCCTGTAGCGATACCAGTACAATATCTCATGGTTCTCAACCAATCAGATTTGAGAACCAGAACAAACTGCTGTATAAATATATCCTCCTGACTACCAGAAGAAAAAAAAAAGCTGAATTTAATATTTTTCATGTCATTACATTGTTTAGAGCATAAGAAAAAAATGGAAAATAATTTTTTTTAAATGATATTTTATTCATATGTTATGCTATGTCTTCTGTAGAGCAGGACTTTAAAAAGTCTTGTTTTTAAAAGAAATAAAAAGACATGAATAGACATGAAAAGGCAAAAACAGTGATTTTTAAAAAAATCCACAATCCATTTTTATTTTTTTATACCAAACTTTGTATAAAAATGATTCTCAACTATGTTATGAAAGATATAACAGAATGATTTGATATACCATTTTGCTTTATGCAACATGTGCGTAAAATGTCCATAAACAGGTTGTCCCATTATGTGCAATGTATCTATAAACTGTATCTATTTTGCATATTAATTTGTTTTTGGGGCAACATGTAATGAAAAAAGAAGTGTAATAATGGGAGTAATAATTGATATAGATTTTCATAATAATCTAATAATAATAATAAATCTAAAATTTCATAGGAATATTGAAATATAATTTCCCTATTCGATTGGTGTCTCCCAAAATGCGTAATAAACATGCTTTTAGTCCTGCTGTTCTCTACAGATCAATGTCCTGTTTCATAACAGAAAGTCATATTTTGATTTGAAACCACATAACATTTTCCTGAGATGTTGATTTATAACAAATCAGATTAGAAATTAGTCATATTTAAATTATCATTACAAAATATTATCATATTTCCACAAGGGTGTTGAATTTGAGAGGGAGTGGTCATGGTGAAACATCCAAACATATGGTCTCTCTGAACAGTCCTGAATGTGCTCGGTGCAGGACATCCAGACTTACAGCTGTGACATGTGAGGTCTCAGAGAAATCACTAAAACATTATGTCCACTACAGAGGACAAGACTCCATAGCTGGTTGTCAGGAGGATCTATATATACACACAACAGTTTGGTCTGGTCCTTGAATCTTGAATTCTTCACTTGTATCATTTCTCACAGCGGGTGTCATGGCAGATGACCAAACCCAATGTAATTTTACAAATACTACTGTTGTTTTGTCACAGAATATAGTTTAAAGAGTTTTTTTTGTAGGTGAGAATGTAGTTGTTTAGACTTCAAATATGCGGTTTGTTAATAAAGATAACGGCTATTTGAAAATGTGCTTGGATGTTTGAGGAGATGTGAGCTCCAGCGCGTCAGCGGCCGTTCAGCGCTCATGAACCCGCGGAGAGAGCAGCCTCACCTCACAACACATATGGCTTTGGGAAAAGTGCAAATCAGTGACATGAATTGACGGCGTTGGGATGTGTTTAACTCAGTCGTGTCAAAAGTCCAACACATGATTCGGTCTGGTCAAGAAAAATTAAACGATGAAAGACATTCAAGCGATCAATGACGGGTTTTGCTGAAACATTAGTCTATTTTGTTGGGTTTGTGAATCTGTTGTGTGTTAGTGAAATGCTGCATCTTCTCACATGTTCAGAAAACGAGACCATAACCTTGAGATTAACGTGTCACACACACACACACCCCTGATGAAGTCTAAAGAGCATTAAGTCCATTAGTGTTTCCCTGACGGGAAGCTGCTCTCTGAGCTTCAGCGAGACTATAAGAGAGCAGCAGAGACAGACAGCCTCATTCCACAGACAGACAGAGAGAGAGAGAGAGACACGCACACGCCGCTCACGCACCACAAACACAGGTAAACATGCTCAAGAATTACAATAGCAGCTGGCTGATGTTCTTCAGGTCGATAGTTCATAAATGATCAATCATCTGTTTTGCTGTATCACATCTAGTTTGTTGCTGTTTGTTTTATGTGGGTTAGTTCATTAGGGTTCTATTCTACGCTCTTGTGCATAAAGGGAACCCCGGGTATTAAGACTTGTATGGCTTAAAATAACATAAATGATGTCTCTTACTGAAATATGTAGTAGAAAACCCATGAAAGATTTACGTTATTTAAGAAATCCACATTGTTTTGGACTATGGGGGGCGCCATTATTTCAATGACATCAAACGGTTGCACTCAGTGAGTTACTGGTGCTATCTGCTGTTAATTTTACCGCAACACAACTGAATACTGAACGTCATTGAAATATATTATATTAAGCCATACAAGTCTTAATACCCGGGGTTCCCTTTAATGCAGGAAGACTGACATGATGTATGGTGTGAGATATTCATGATCAGATGAAGGTGTGAACTCTAATCAGCATCGCATGAAGCTGCAGAAACACCAGCGTCTGATCCACGGACAGACAGATGAAGGAAATCTCAATCTGTTGTGTTAATGAGATTAACGGTCTTAATGAGGCAACATGAAAAACAGTGTTTGATGTGGATTATTGTGAGATTATAATCTGATGGACGTCTGACACGTCAGGAATATCATAGAGTCTGCTCTCGTGTTCATCCTGAAGGGCTTTATTTTGTGATAATGACTGACAGGCTGTATGTTATCACACTGAGGTGTTTATGGGATAAATCAATACAGGCAGATGACATCAGTTACGTGAGAGACTGCAGAGACACACACCATGACGAGTGATAAACGAAGGAGAGAAATGTTCCAGATCCAGCAGCGTAATCCCAAATTCAAGCAGAGACAGACGCGCACCTTCAAGAGCAAAGCCCCCAAACCCGGACAGAAAGGGTACAAACACACTCACACACTCACACACACACACACACACACACACACATCCTTGTGGGGACTCTCCATAGGCGTAATGGTTTTTATACTGTACAAACCATATTTTCTATCGCTCTACACCTAAACCTGCCCCTCACACTAAACTATAGGCATTTTTACACTCTCAAAAAAACTCATTCTGTGTGATTTATAAGCTTGTTTCCCCATGGGGACCTCAATTTAGGTCCCCACAGTGCCACGAGTCCTGTGTGTATTCAGGTTTAAGTCTCCACCAGTGTAGAAAAACATGCACTCACACACAGTTTCACACACACACACACACACACACACACACACAAATGCTGCAGCTATTGAGCGAGTTTCCCTCTGCTCTGCAGATTCGGCGATGATATTCCTGGTATGGAGGGTCTCGGCACAGGTGAGTCACAGTGACACATACACACACACACACACACACACACACACACCCTGTGTTCAGTTTGTTAATGCCTGTGTCTCGTCTCGTGACAGATATCACTGTCGTGTGCCCATGGGAGGCATTCGGAGACATGGAGCTCAGCGATCTGGCCAAATACGGCATTATCTAAACCCCGCCTCCTCAACATCACCGCCTTCAGCCCCGCCCCTCTCATCCAGTGGCCCCACCCCTTTTGCTCAATGTTGTCGTGTGGTTATGATGTTGTGTGATGATAAAGGGCTGATTCAACACATGGACACTGTCATTATTGATATGATTGTTATTGTTATTATTATATAATATTTTATATTTTGTATATGTTGCGATAAGATGACAACTTATCCCCTCCCACACCCCAGCTGTCAATCAACATCCTGAAAAATAGTCATCAGGGTTAAGACACGCCCCTAGCTGCGACTCCGCCCTTAACTCTAATATATTACAGACGGCGTGTTTCCTGGTGACATCACTTCCTCTGTCTCGTAGAGCCTGTCCCATAAACACACTTATTTTATTAAATGTGCCATGTGTGATTACCGGAGTAGAAATCCAATTAAACTTTCTATTTTCAGTAACTCTGTTGGCCTTATTGCAGTAGAATAAAAGCAAATTTCATAACACAACAATGAATTTCATTAAACACCATTATGAAAAACCCATTAACATACTGATTCATGTCAAGAATGACTGATGTGTGTGTGTGTGTGTGTGTGTGAAAGAGAGTGAGAGAGAGGCTGTTCACACACATAATGTAAATTCAGGAAGAGTAGAAACAAATCTGTTGACTTCATCATCCGCGCGTCTCTCTGCTCCTCCCATCCTTCACCCCACACACACACACACACACACACACACACACAGAGAGAGAGACAGAGACAGACGGTGTGTGAGGGTCTGTGATGGACGGAGCGACAGGCTGCAGGTACGACACTTTCATCTCTAAATACTATCAGTCTTACAGAGGATGAATGAAGGAAATCAGGTGACAGTCCGGTCACAATATTCATAACTATGAACTGTAAATCATGTCTGCTGTGTGTGTGAGTCTGTGTGTGTGTTGTGATTGAAGTTTAAAACTTTTTTACACTGCTGCTCAAGAAAAACACATATTTTCCTCCAATCAGACAACAGGTTTCATGTCATGTAAAGATCCGTGATTCATTAGCTGCTTGGTTTATTCAGATCAGTCGTCACTACGACACACACACACGCACGCCAGATACAAAAGCAGCAAATCATTTCTAAACATTTCTAAACTATTGTAGCTGCTGCCAGATGACAAACCCAAAGGAGAAATGATGTGAAACAAGTGAAAGAGTGAAGATGATCTCTAGCAGGAAAGACATTTGTTAAAGCAGAAGATAAAATCACTGATAACAGCATCACAACTGAGCTTTTGTCCTGGAGAGGAAGAACAACACATCCGTCTCCATCAGCACTTCACCAGCTGGATCCTCAACATTTACCGTCCTGGCTGAGCACAAAAACTACACACACACACAAGTGTAATACTTGAAGTTAAAGATCAGAAATACAAATGACAGAAAAAATTAGGAAAATAAAAGAAAGGATAATTGAACAAATTAAAGTGCTAAAGTACTATACAATGAGAATTAATTTAAATAAAATGTATAGAATGGTTTTTACACATCATACATACAGTACAGAGAAACACTACTGCTGAAACCTTTTTAAGACATTAATACTCTTATTAACCCAAGAAGCATTAAAATGATTAAAAATGACTCAAAAGGCATTTTTAATGCCTAGGACATGATAACAACATGCTAAAAGATGTTAGCAATGTGCTAAAACATGCTAGAAACAAGCTAGCAAACATGCTAAGACTTAATGATTACATAGCAACAAGCTAGCAACCACCCAGAACACCCTAGAAGCTGCCTAGCAACCGCCGAGAGTACCCTAACAACCACATAGCAACGGCCTAGTAAACACCCAAAAAACCCTGGCAACCGTCTAGAGACACCCTAGAAACCACCTAACAACCACATGAAACACCCTAGCACCCGCATAGAAACACCTTAGCAAATACATAGCAATCACCCAAAGTACCCTAGAAACCATCCATAACCTAGCAACCACTCAGAGTACCCTAGCAACCACAAAGCAACGGCCTAGTAACCACCCAGAAAACCCTGGCAACCGCCTAGAGACACCCTAGAAACCACCTAACAACCACCTGAAACACCATAGCACCCGCATAGAAACGCCTTAGCAAATGCATAGCAACCACCCAAAGTGCCCTAGCAACCCCCCATAACAATCTAGCAACCACTCAGAGTACCCTAGCAACCACAAAGCAACGGCCTAGTAACCACCCAGAAAACCCTGGCAACCGCCTAGAGACACCCTAGAAACCACCTAACAACCACCTGAAACACCATAGCACCCGCATAGAAACACCTTAGCAAATGCATAGCAACCACCCAAAGTGCCCTAGCAACCACCCATAACAACCTAGCAACCACTCAGAGTACCCTAGCAACCACAAAGCAACGGCCTAGTAACCACCCAGAAAACCCTAGAAACCACCTAACAACCACATGAAACACCCTAGCACCCGCATAGAAACACCTTAGCAAATGCATAGCAACCACCCATAACAACCTAGCAACCACTCAGAGTACCCTAGCAACTGTGTAGCAACCACCTACAACACCCTAAACTTTCAAAATTTAATACTGTTTCAAACTTCATGCTTTTACAACCAATTCAAACTTTTAGGCTAGACTTTCTCAGCTGTTTCTGTTATTTTCCTTTTTATCACTGTGAAGCTGCTTTGACACAATCTTTATTGTATAAAGCGCTATAGTCAAGTCAAGTCACCTTTATCTGTATAGTGCTTTTTATACAATACTGATTGTGTCAAAGCAGCTATAGAAACAAAGCTGACTTGACTTTATATTGAAAAATCATTCTGGTGACTTTCTCTGGTTCTGTGGTGAAAACAGATATTTGAATCAAAAGTCACTGAAAGTTCTCTGTCTTTCCTGCAGATCACTGTGAGCATCAGAGAGAGAAGAGAAAAAGCGCTTCACCATCGATCAGATCCATGGTCATGGAGCTTCTGGTGCGGGTTCAGCGGTGGAACGGCTCTCGGCCCGTGGGCTGCGGCTCTGCTCTGGCTCAGGAGTACTGGCCGCTGTGTGACACGTGGGGGATCGTGGTGCAGGCCGCGGCGGGCGTGGGTTTGGTCAGCTGTGTGGTGCTGATGCTGGCTCTGCTGCTGTGGTCGGCGTGTGCGTCCCGCCGTCGGTCCGGTGCGCTGGCGGCGCTGCTGCTCTTCCTGTTGGCCACGGCGGGTATATTCGCTCTTCCCTACTCCTTCATCATCGCTCTGTCGCCGCAGACGTGTCCGGTGCGGGTGTTTGCGCTCGGCGTGCTGTTCAGCGTGGCGTTCGGCGCTCTGCTGGCGCGCGGTCTGGCTCTGCTGGGGGTGGCGCTGGCGCGCGGCTGGAGGGAGGTTGCTGTGGCCGCGGCGCTCGCGCTGGTGCAGGTGATCGTAGCGGCGGAGTGGCTGCTGGTGGTGCTGGTGCAGGACAAGAGGACCTGCCAGTTTTCACAGCCAGAGTTTGCCATGCTGCAGATTTACGTGATGGTGTTGTTAGCCGCGGCGCTGATGACGGCACTGCGCTTCCTCCGGTATACCTGCGTCACCTACAGCTACAGCGACAGCGGAAGCACGCATCGGCAGAACAAACTGCAGGCGGCGCTGCTGGTCCTGACGCTGCTGCTGAGTGCCTGCGTGTGGCTCATCTGGATCACACTCCTCACATACGGGAACCATGCCATGGGCCGCAGCCCGCTCTGGGACGACCCCGTGATCAGTGTGGCGCTGACCGCTAACGGCTGGGTGCTGCTGCTGGGACATGGCTTCACTCAGGTCCGCTTCATGTGCAAGAGCAACGCTCGTGCCAAAGACCCGCCGCTGGACTTCACGGGCTGGACAAGCCCCAGAACACAGCCAGCGGCTCCACCGGACCTGAAGACCGGCACCGACAACGAGGGCTTCCAGACGGACGCGGACGCGGACGCGAGGAGAGGTAACAGAGGAGTCAGATACTCGTGAAGCCACATTGCATGGGATGTTCTGGCTTGTTTTCACTGATTGTGTCTTTAATAGGAGTGTATTCTGCATTCTCCATACAGTTGTTTTTAACATGTTTAAACCTGAAACACGTGAAAGAATCTGCCAGTGCAGTGAAAAAAATACACTTGTGATGTTACGTACGACACAAGGCTCCAGCATCAGGCTTACATACTTTGCAAAGAAATGATATCTAGGAACATTTTAGGTTTATAAAATATATATGTCCAGGCTTTAAACTTTACGAGCAGCAGATGGCGCTGTTCTTCACATGTCGAGGCTTTGAATCTTTTACTGGGACAATCAGGGCATTCAATCCCCATCCTTACAAACATTCATATTAAAGACACATTCTCTGAAAACAGCTGAGAGAATGTGCTCATCAAATACCCGATCTTACAGTCTCTGTCCTGAATAACACAATCCCAGCATGCACTGAGCAAGATCAGTCAACAAAGTTGCTGCCTATGACTGGCAGAGGTTAAAAGTCACGTGTTTGTGTTGCAGGTGAAGATGTGTCGCCGTCCGGAATCTTCATGAGAGTGAGTTCTCATCATCCAATCACCATCCTGCAGCACTGAACGGCTGATGATGTCACTGTCATGTGATTAATCCACTGTGTGTTTCATGTTTCAGGAACTCAGAGCAGAGAAAGATTACAGCATCCCTCGACCCACGACCACCAACATCAACGAGCCATACGACGAATACTATGGACACAGAGTTTGACCACACACACACACAGATACACACACACACACACAG